AGCAGTGGGGGTGGGGAGGGGGCAGGGGAGGTCTAGTATCCAGGCCAACCCGTAAAGACCTCTGATCCCCTCTCCTGACTCTGGGAGAAGAGACATAGTCTCTCTTGACTAGAGGTTTTCTGAAGAGCATAAAAATTCAGGATTATTTTCAAAAAGCTATTTAAAAGTACATGAAGTTGCAAAATGCTCTACAGTAGTAAGTAATATTGGTAACTTCTGAAAATTTAGTTGAAAAGTTAAAATAGAGATGTATTAATAGTGCTAATCTGTAAAGTATGTGAGTTATAAGGCTTAAGGCAGGATGACCAACCATCCCAGACAAGTACAAGTTGGTCATCCTAGCTTAAGGTAATAATCAAAACTAAGTTGAGTGCTTGGAAAGACTTGGAAAAGCAGATTTTTTAAAAGTATTTTGCTAAAAGAGTAAAAGTAGGCAATATAACTAAGAAAGTTTCAAAAAATCTTAAAAATCTAGATGGGAAATCTAGGAGACATTGCTTTGGCCATATCTTTAAGTTCTTGCTTCACTTTAATGATACAGAAACTGGACATGCAATGTAACACAGGATGATTTACACAAAAAAGTTTAGACAATGCTCTAGTTAGTAATTCATATCTAAGAGAAGGCCAACACTAAAGATGGTTGAGCAAATAGACATTTATGGGTTTAAGTGTTAGTGTTTATGCCCTGGTTTTCTTTCTTTATTTCTTTTATGATTCTCCAATTTATCATTTTCAATTAATCAACTAATTGCCAGTCCTAAATTGAGTCAACCAGAAGGACTTCTGTCCTTTTCAAAAGGCCAATTTACCCTTAATGATCTCAGTATCTCTTAATTTTTAGAGCTAAAAGGATCTTAAAGATAACCCAATCTGATGCCCTCATGTCTCAAATGAGCCTGCCCAGGCTCCAAAAAAGGCTGACCTTGACCATGGATGGCCCCATGGTGGCTTCTCCCACTGCTCCACCTAGAAGGTGGTCCTATGTGGCCTGGAAGAATGCTGTGGAAGGCAGAATACTGGTTCCCCAAAGATGTCCATACCCTAAACCCTGGAACCTCTGAATATGTTACATGGCAAAAGGGACTTTGCAAATGTGATTAAAGGACTTTGACATGTGGAGATTATCGTGGATAATTGGGTGAGCCAATCTAATCACGAGTCCTTAGAAGTGGAAGAGGAGGAATGAGAGTAGGTCAGAAAGATATGATGACAGAGAAGGCAGGAGAGATTCAAAATGTGAAAGGGTTTTGACATACCCTTGCTGGCTTTGAAGGCAGGGAGGGGGACAGAGCCAAGAAATGCAGACAGCCCCTAGCAGCTGATGGCCCTCATCTGGCAGCCAGCACAGAAATGGGAATCTCAGCCCTACGACTGCCTACAACCTGAATGGGCATGAGAATGAATCCTCTTCTGGAGCCCCCAGAAAGGAGCATGGCCCTGTTAACACCTTGATTTTAACCCAGTGAGACCTATGTCTGACTTCTGACCTATAGAATTTTAAGATAATAAATCGTGTTGTTGAAGACACAAAGTCTGTGGTAACTGGTTTCATGAGCCATAAAAAACTAATACAGTATGAATGTGATGGTGACAGACCCCTCCACCCCTTTTCAGAATGTTCTGGTGAATGGCAACCGATGTCATAGAAAAGATTCTAGAAGAACAGGTATGGAGAAGGACTTGACAGTTTAAAAGCTCAAGACAAATGGGTTATTAAGGAAGTGGCATCTGAAAAATCCAGGGAATCAAGGGTAGGTAGAGCAACTTTTCTGCAACACATGTCAAAGCTGCCGCCATGGCTGTGCTTCCCCTCCCCCCGAGAAGGCACCCAGGGCCTTTGGAAGGACTGGTAAGTGGCTTTATGGTGGGCAGGAGCTGGAAAAGCTGCAAGAGGCACTCAGCAGCAAATTCACTTATTGCTCATCTGATGACAGTTCTGTTGGGAAAAGGAGGTTTTTGTTCATTCAACAAAGATTCATTGAGCTCCTACTATTCATTAGTTTCTGTTCTAAATTCTGGGGATAACGCAGAGAATAAGACAGACCAGGTTTCTGCATTCCCAGTCCTTACACTCTGGTATGGAAGAGAGAAAATAAACAAGCAAACGTAAATGAACAAAGCAGTTGCTGATGTTGACTTATGTTAAGAAGAAAATAACAACCATCTTCTGTGAGGAGTCAGTGATCAGGGAATCCTCTTTGAGATAGTGAGCTCATTTGAGCTGAGACCATGACAATAAATAGCAAGCTCTATGGTGGTCGAGACAAGCAGGCTGCAGGCAGAAGGAACAGCTGGTGCAAAGGACCTGTGGCGGGAATGAGATAGGCAAGCTCAAGGAAAAGAAATGTGCAAGGTGACTGTGGCAGAGTGAAGGTTAACAGAGAGACAGTGGTGTGGAATCAGACTGGAGAGGTGCTCGGGGGTAAATTAGGACGGTTCTTGTCAGCCACTTTGAGGAGTTGGGATCTTACTTAAAGTTAAGGGGAATCCACTGGATGTGAGTGGTATGACTGGAGACATGCTCTTGAAAAGGCCTTTCTGACTTCTGTGTAAAGAATGGGTTTCAGGGAACAAGAAAGGAGTAAGTACTGAAGGAATTTAGTTAGGAAACCTCTACATTAGTCAGAGGTGATGGTGGCCTGTACTAGGACGAAGGCAGAAGAGGTGGTGAGAGATGAATAGGTTTTGGAAGAACAGCAGAAAGGGCTTCCTGATGAATGGCTGCTGGAGAAGAGGAAAAAGAGAGGACTCAGCATGCCCTTTATGAGCTGAGAAGGGGCCTGCCCTCTGGGAAAAAGACATTGTCTGTAAATATTGTTTGTTCTGTTGGGAAATGTAAACATGGACTTTTCTCATATGCATTGAAATTCAGTCATTAAGCTAAGGGCATGGGGTGCAACCAGAGCTCAGAAAAGCGAATGTCCACAGGGGACCTAGTGTTCTGTGTGTTTAACTCATTTAGTCTTCAGATCAACACAATTAGGTAAGAGTTATCTTAATCTGTTATAGATGAGGAAACCGAGGCACAGAGAGGTTGATTAACTTGTCTAAGATCACTCCTGGGATCACTGAGATCCCAGCCACTGAGGGGTAAAGCTGGGATTTGAACCAGGCAATCTGATTCCCAAGTCTGAGCAAGTCTGAGCTAAGCCCTCCTAGATACTATGTTTGGTGTAATGGTCATGTCTGCAACTAGTCATGCAGGTTGAGGGCTTAAACGAATGTTAGAAAGTGCAATTCTTCTAATTAATGAATATACTTATTTCTAACCTTTGCTCAATTTAGACATTTAGTCTAGGTCACTGGTTTTCAACAGGGGGCAATTTTGTCCCCCAAGGGACAGTTTGTCACAACTGAGGGGATACAGCTATAGGCATCTAGAGGCTGGGTATGCTCCGAAGCAATTCCAATGCATAGGACATTCCCCAGAACAAAGAATTTTCCAGCCCAAGTGTCAAGGTTTAGATGCTCTGGTGTAGGTGAACATAGCCTGGAGAATATGCATACCCTGTGAATGGGGACAAATGGGAGGGAGCAATTAAGTGACCAATTTATATGTATTGATGGAGTGTCAGGGGCTGTGGGGCATGCCAGGGAGAAGACGTGTCCTAATTTCCAATCGCACATTCTAGTCTGAGGGATGGAACACTGTTAAAAACAAGATGGTCACCTGCCAGCTGTCATGGAAGAGACTCTGAGGGCAATAGTGGCTCAAGGGGGAACAAAACATTCATGGAGGATCATCAGCCTCCAAGGAGTTCACTCCTGGGATAGAAGCCTGAAGGTAGAGCAATATTTGGGTGGGGAAAGTCACCCTGGGGCCCTGTAGATGGGGAAGAGCTATGCCATACGGGCCCCAAGGTAAGACTTAGCAGGCTCATGGGTGCTGGGAGAGTGGCATAGGAGGTGCAGAGAAGCTCAGAGAGGGAGCACCAAGAGAATTCCGAGTTGACTGAGTCGGTTCCTCCTGATGGAGGGTGGGCAGGCTAGAGAGCCGGATTAGGGAGGACTTAGAAAACCAAGTGTGGGGTTGCTGTGGTAAGGAATAGGGAACTAGCAATGTCCTCAAAGTGACATTTTGTACATGTTTCAGGGGCATTCCTCAGTTGGAGTAGAAAACACCCTCTGCATGAGTTGGTCCGGAGGGGTGCAGGTGGGAAGGCCGGGCTGTGACTCGGCTTGCAGGGATGAGGTGGCTGGTTTAGGTGGTGGCAGCAGAAATGGAGAAAGGTAAACTCAAGAATCTACTCTCTGAGCACCCCACACGTGACCCGCATTTTAAAGACAAGGAAGCAGAGACACAGTGAGGCTAAGTGACTGGGCTGCTGTTGCTGAGCTAATCAGTGGCAGGGCTGGGCTGGACCTGCGCTTGCCTCCTCGTGTGCACAACAAGGGAAAAGTTAGTGGAGTGTGGTTTGTAGAACATCTGGGTAAAGGGTAAGACCACAACTTGGGATATATTCCGGGATCAAAGGCAGTGATGGGAAAAATCCAATGTGACAGGAGTGGTTGTGCTCAAGTGGTGGGACCATGACAAATTTTTGTCTTCTTTCTCTTTTTCTGTTTTCCAAAATGTATGTAATGAACAAGTTCTACTTTCACAAAGGACTTGAGCATCTGTAGCCAATGTCAAAGTGAAATGAGTGAGATGCAAACAAAGAAGAAGCCAATGGGCTTTGCTAGCGGGGAGGATTGGCAGGGGTGGGGGCTCAAGAGTGCAGTTACCTTAGAAAATGGGAGGTCAAGATGAGAAGAGGCGGGTCTCGGGTGTCCCAGGTTTGCAGTGACATGAAGCAGAGAGTCAGGGTGGGAGGAAGTATTGTGGTCAAGTCCGACGAGACTCCCACTTTTCTGAACACACTGAATTGCACTCCCGGCCCCACAGGGCTCTTCTTTTGCGTCAGAGGACCAGCGTCCCTGTGAGCTTGGTAGGAATTACCTGTGACTCCACCCGCCCCCTTGGCCAATCGTCCTGAGCTGCCAGGAGCCTGGAGAAGATGAAGGCGTCCGTGATTCTCTCCCTCATTGGCTTCCTGGTGGTTCCAAGTGGTGCTCGCATCTTGGGGCGTTGCGTAGTGGCCAGGAAGCTCTACGAAGGAGGCCTGAATTATTTTGATGGCTACAGTCTTGAAAACTGTGAGTAGGCCCCACTCGGCCCCCTCTCTCCTCACCTCCTTTCCCTCTGCCTGCTGCCCAGGCACCCCCAGCTCCAGCTGTCTTCAGAGCACACGCCTCCTGTTCCATCTTAGGGGTGTGCCTGGCTTACTTTGAGAGCAAGTTCAACCCCACAGCCGTCTATGAGAACTCACGTGGTGGGTACACTGGCTACGGCCTCTTTCAGATCCGTGACAGTGACTGGTGTGACCATGGCAGGAACCGCTGCAGGATGTCATGTTCTGGTAGGTCCCCTCTTCCCATTCCATGCTAGGGCTCTGGAGGGAGGCCGTGGCACTATGCTCAGAGGGCTGCCTTCCAGGTGGATAGAAGTGACAAGTTTTGAGGAGGCAGGAGGAGGGCCTGGCAGGAGCTGGGCTGAGCTGTACCCAGGATGGAGTCTGGGGAGGCTGAGTGTCACATTGCCAGGGCGGACAGTGAGGAAGGGCTGTGGCAAGTCAGGCACACTCGCCTGGGATGGAGCTATGGAGACCCACGTCCAGATGGGCAGAGAAGGTGTTGGGATGCTGAGAGGAGGCTGCAGGCATCAGAGCCCATCTGAGCCTGGAGGGTAGGAGCAGAGGGCTCCAGCTGGGCCTGATTTCACCCACACTCGGCCATCACTCCCTTGCTCAAGAGGACAGATGCTGCCCCTTTGAAAGGCAGAAGTGGTCGACAGGAGGAGACAGGAGCCACCCATCCCAGGGTTCACTCATTCCGTGAGGATTTATTGAGCACCCACTACGTGCCAGGCCTCATGGAGCTGTCACTCTAGTGCTTGTTAACTGCCAAGGTACTCTTCTAAGCTCTTTGTAGGTATTAATTTATCTAATATTCACAATGACCATTTTGAGGTGGATACTGTTATTTTCTTCATTCTATAAATGGGGAAATCAAGGCCCAGAGAGGGTAAGTACATGCCCAAAGCCACACAGCTGGTGAGTGGTAGAGCTGGGAGGCAAACTCAAGCAGAGTGGTTCCCAAGTTGGGCCTAATCAGGAGGCGACACAGTGAGGCCAGGGCTCCCTGACACCTGAGGTTGTCTTTCTGCTGCAGGAGAGCCTAAGTACCCCAGCATCCTCAGGGTCTGCCTAACGAGTAAACTTCCTTCCATCCTGATGGGTGAGAAACGTTCCAGAGCCTGCAGCCTCTGAGCTGGGTCTTTAGGAGACAGAGTGAAGAGGTCCTGGCAAAGGCTTGCAGCCTTCTTGTGTGGCCTGGGGAGTACTTGTCTTGTGTTGAGTCCCACGGTGGACCTTGTGGCTCCAGAGAGGAGTAAGAAAGTTTTCAGATTCAAAGAGAGGCAGGACTGCAAATAGGAGGGAAAGGCACAAGAACACTGCAGGAACCCAGTGGGAATCCCAGACGCTGTCATTACAAGCTACATGAGTTTGTGCAAGTCACTTCCTGGAACTTCCCCATCTGTGAAGTGAGGACGACTTTAGCTACCTCTTACAGTTGCTGTGAGTATTAAATGGAATAATGGATGGGAAATGCTGTGCAGGGCCCACAGTTAATTACAATAATCACAGTGTAGATGGGAAGATGCATATTAAAGATGTAATTTAATTACTGTGATGGAACATTCAATGTTACCGTGAGCTTCCTGGTACCCAAGGAAAAAAGAGAAACACAGTAGGTCCACAACTTATATCTCATAAGGAAATATATATATATGTGTTACATATATATACATCTATACACACACACACACACACACACACACACACATATATAAAATCTCCAGAATTCAATGGGAGAAACACACAATTATCTATCTGGATGATGAGGTGGTACTGGGTATTGTGATAAAAAAAAAAAAAAGAAAAGAAAAAAAAATCTTTTAAAATAGCTGGCTGAGTGGTAAAACAGTTAAGAGAAATACCTAGAGGCTAAAGAGAGGAGCAAGAATCGAAATAGGTAAATGAGGATTGAAGCAGATAATAATCCTGGGGTGTCGGCTGGTTCTCTGTAGGCTAATGTGTAGGTTTCATGGTCACTGTGTGGACAGAACCTGAGCAAGGTGAGGAGGGGCATTGGAGACCTCCACAGAAAGCTGAGACACCAGAGGGCTACACTAATGGGGGAAAGTGATGAGCTGCAAAATCCCCAAAGTGAAGACATTCCAAGTAGAGGAGGAAAATAGTTTTCCCTGGGAATTTGTAACCACAACCCAATAGGATTCACACGGAAGCAAGTCACCACTTAGAGGTTCTAGACCCTGTGCTAAGTACTGTGGGCAATTCAGAGGAGTTGTATGCTTTCCCCATCAGGCACAGGCTTTAAGGTCATACAGAATCTTGGATCCACCTCTTGCAAGTTATGTGATTTGAGCCTCAGTTTTCTTATCTGTAAAATGGAGGTAATAGTAATACCTACCTCACAAGGCTCTTATGAGTTTTCAGTATGCTACAGGGAATGTAAAGTGCTGAGCACAGTGTCTGGGATACTGCCTGGTGCTTGATGAATGCAACTTTCCTTTGTTTAAAGAATTTACAGGGTAGTTGGGGATTAAGATATATGCATGTTTGTTTGTGTGTATGTATTTATATAACAGGTAAGTAGTGAATCAAAGTGGCCTTTTAGGGCCGGCCCGGTGGCACACTGGATAGTGCGCCGCTTGGGAAGCGCGGTGGCGCTCCCACCCAAGGGTTCGGATCCCACATACAGACTGGTTCCCGCTCACTGGCTGGCTGAGCGAGGCGCGGGAGCAGCGCCGAGGGTTGCGATCCCGTTGCCGGTCCCGGTCCAGTACGGGGGCGACACTGAGGGTTGCGATCCGTTGCCAGACACAGAAAAAGACAAAAAAAAAAAAAAAAGTGGCCTTTTATTTAGACAGAAGAGGGGAGATGGCATAGGGGGCCAGGCAGTCAGTGGCAGACTAAATTTTAAGGACTGGACTGTTTGGATGAGCAGATCCAGGTTGGGACATGAGCATGAACAAATCCCAGAAGAGGACTTGCCTGTGATCCTTAAGCTGTGGTGTCATGAATGGGGCACCCACCTTTGGGGTGGGCACCATCTTTGCCCCTTGCCCTTAACATGTCTTGAATGGTAGAGTTGTGGGGGCAAGCAATGGGAACTAAGGCTGTAGAGGTGGAAAGCCACGTTGGTCCCAACTGGAAGAAGCCAAAGATTTGGGGTTCCATTTTACAGGCAAATAGGGGGCACCGAAGTGATCCTTTAAGTAAAAACAATCAGACTAGATTAGGGAAAGAGGTGACAGTAGTGTAGGCAAGACAGAAGGTATTGCAAGAATCACAAGTAGGAGGTCTTGGCACTGCTGGGCCCTCTCACATGCTGTTCCCTGTGCCTGGAACAATTCTCCTCCTGTGACTCCCTCAATCTCCCTCCCTTACCTGCTCCTTTCAATGACACTTCCCTGACCCTTCATGTCTGAATTGGGTCCCCCTCCTACATGCTCCCTGTCATTCCAGGCATCCATTGTATTATCATTGCCTACATCTCCACCCCGTCCAGACTGCTGGCTCCATGAGGTCAGGGATGGGATTATCATGTTTGCTATTATATCTCCACAGCTTCTTATATTTCCTACCACAGAATAGTCAATACACCCTTATATTTTAATGGAAAAATTATTATAAGAATTACAAGAAAAAAATCAACAGATTTGGTAAAAAGATAACTATATCCTGCTACCTCCTATGTTGTCTGGGGAAAATCTAGGGATAGCTTTACTCTTGGAATTACATGGAAACCTCTCCGGTGTGAGGACTCTGTACCTTCCCTGACTTCATTCTAACTTAGCTGTCACAGGGTGGTGTGGTATTGTTCCACTTATTTTCTCCACAGGCCTCCTGAATCCAGATTTAAAGAAGACAATTAAATGTGTCAAGAAAATTGTAAGAGGAAAAGAAGGGATGGGAGCATGGTAAGTGATACATCTTTCGACCGCTCGTGTTAATGATTTTCACCCATTATCTCTAATCTCAATCTTGGCCAAATCTTGATTGCTGCTCATTTGCAGTCCCAAACCGACGGGCTCCTACTCACCAAGTTAAGTAGCAGAACACTATTGAGTTCTGCAACCCCAAGTAAACAGAAGGAAGGAAATAATTATCAAATTGCCTTGAATTGTACTTTTTTTTTTTTTTTTTTCCAAATCTCGTTTAAGGTTATACAGAATGCTAGGATGAACATTCTTGAAACATATCTCTGTGAATATCTGATTATTTCTTTCATATACATTCCTATAAAGGTTTTGAATTCTTTCAAGAAAATTGATGCATGTTGTGAAATGACTCTCCAGCAAGCTTGACCAATTTATATTTCTGCAAAGAGTTTAGCAAAATGCCTATTTACTGCATCTTGACCAATCACAAAACGTTTGGCCTTCGAAAGGTGGATAACATTTTTGTCTTATCTTCTTTTGCCTTTTATGATATCCCATTAGAGTGTTTTCACCAGTGTTTGTTATATATTGATACTCTTTTTTCTCATCCCTGTCCTTTGCCTATATTTTTCTTAAGTCATCACATTGGTTTGGAAAAGCTCTTTGTACATTTGGTATATTAACTGATTGTTGTATATTTGTTGCCAAAAATAACTGCAACTCTGATTTCCTCTTTAACCAGATATTTGCTTAGGAAAGAAAGACTTCTAAAATTTACAAGTGATTGGGCCTGTGACTAACTTTTTTCACTCAACATTATATTTGTTCATATTGTTGTATGTGGTTGTAATTCAGTCATTTTCATTGCTGTGTAGTATTCCATTGTTTGAATACACCACAAGTTATTTATTCATTCTTATATTTGTGGGCATTTGGGTAGTTCTATGTTTTTAGTGCTGCTATGAACAATCTCTACTTATCTTTTAGTAAATATATAAATGGATTTTCATCTTTTATACCAAGAAATAAAATTGCTGGTCATCAGATATGCATATTTTCAGGTTTGGTATATTGCACCAAATAGTTTCCTAAAGAGATTTTTACCAATTTACACTCCCACCAGCAATTATGGGTTCCAGTTGCTCCACATTCTCACCGATGCTTGGTATTTTCTAGCTTATTCTCATAACTGTGCTGTGGTATTGCATCATGGTTTTACTTTGCATTTCCCCTGATGACTAATAAGGTTGAGCTCCTTTTCAAATGTTTATTGGCCATTTAGATATCCTTTTTTCTGAGGTGTCTGTTCAAATATTTCATCATTTTTTCTATTGTGTGGTCTGTCTTTTTCTTATTAATTTGTAGGAGATATTTATATATTTTAGATAAAAAGTTTTGTTGGATATACATATTGCAAATATCTTCTTTCATTCTTTGAGTTACCTTTTCATCTACTTAATGGTGTCTTGATAAGCAGAAGTTCTTAGTCCTTATACAGTCTAATTTATCATTACTTTCCCTTTATTGTTATTTTTTAACAAATATTTCCTTATTCCTCAATTATAAGGATATCCTCCTTCATTTCTGAAAGCTTCATTGCTTTATCTTTCACACTTGACTCTACAATACCTTTTTGTTCTTTTTCTTGCCTTGTTGCATTGGCGAGGACATCCAGCAAATGTTGAATAGAAGTGAGGATAGTGGCATCCTTGCCTCATTCCCACTCTCACAGGTAAGAAGTTCAATATTTTATCTTTACATGTAATATTTTCTTCAAATTTTCTGAGACACTCCTAATCAGATTATGAGTAGTTTTTTCCACTTCTACTTTGTTAAAGGTTTTTATCATGATTGTGTGTTGAATTTTGGCTATGACATTTTTAGTTTCTTTGCAGTTCTGTGTTGGTTTATCTATCTTCCCTTAAAATCCAAACTGCTGTCTTTTTTTAAATCTCTTTTCTCTCCCATGGTTTTTTTCCAGAGGTCATGTCTAGTTACATCTTATTGAAGATGCCAGTTTTATGAAATTTACTTCTGAATTCTGCAGTATGTTATTTTCAGAATAATGTTCCTCTGAATTTCAGTATGATGCCCTGTTTTCTTCTTGTAATATTGTCCCATAGGTGCCAGGTTAGTTTTATCCTCTTTACCCTTCCTTAAATAAGGACAGGTTTACTGATTCAATACTTGCTAAATAGGTTGTGTGGATTTTTTTTTTTTTTTTTTGTCTCTGCTCATTATTACTTTTCTCAGATGTCCATCTGGGAGTAGATTGTTGTGCACATCTCTTGGCCCAATTTCCAGCTGATATGAGTGTTTGGTTCTTTCTGATATGCTGAGCCAATGGAGCACATGAAAACACTCCATTTCCAGCATGCACTGCTACCACCTCCATCTATACCATCATCATGGCAGACCTACTCTATCCAGTGGATGCTGTACCACCCCAAATTTCCATCTTCCCCTGCTTTTTCTCCTCCTGTTCCACATCTCATAATTGCCTGCCTGGTTGATTCTGATTGTAGTCTCCAGTTAGATTTATGAACAATGTCATATATCCTCATTTCCAGATGGTACAATTTTCCAGATCTTAATATTTCTGAAATTAGAATTTATCTTGCAATCAATGTATCCTCCCCCAAAAGTTGTTATTAAATCATTGATACATCTTACAATAGAAGATATTTTACCATAGAGGAAATCATTTAATAATAGCTACAATTTCTTGACTGCTTTAGTGTGTAGGCTTTGTATGTTTACATGCACATCATCATTTAATCCTCACAAATCCCCCCTGCAAGTATTTTAAAATGAAGAAACTGAGGTACAGAGATGTAGAATAAATTACCCATGGCCACAGTGATAGGATCAATCCTAGATCTGTGGTATTCCAAGCTTCAGCTTTCACCAGGCTACTCACAGAGAGAGGGATGGTTGGCACAGGAGATGTGTGCTCTGATTGTGTAGAAGGCAACCAAAGGATGGCTGTCTAGTACTCCTGCGGATCCAGAATCAGGGTTTCTGAGCAGGGTCAGACTGTGGGGGAAGGACAGATCTGTCAGTTGACTTATTTCACTAGGGGAAGCCTAGGTGGTGTTTCTGACCACAATCCATGGGCCCTGTAGGCAGTGAAGACCTCTTCCAGAATCTGGCTCAGAAGGTGTGACTGTCTCAGAAGTCAGGCCTTTTTGTTGTTGCTATTTTGGCTTTTTCTGTGTCTTCAAGGTATTTTGGAACTAAATTCAATCAAAGATTTTGTTTTTCTTGCTTCTGAATCTCCAGCATCTAGCTCTGTGCCTGGCACATAATGGCTGCCTGCTACATGTTTGTTGAAAAACTGGGGCTGTATTTGGGACCACTACCCAGAAGTCATTTGTAAAAGTTTTATTTCTTAATGTAGTATTTATTACTCTTAAAAATGAAAAGTAAAGAATAAACTTTCCTTCTTATCAGCAGCCCCATCAAGGTCACCACTATTAATATGTCTTATAAATCAGAGAAAAATTTATACACAAATATTTTAAAACATGTATGGAATCCCAACATACACACTGACTTGCACCTTGCTTTTTTCCACTTATTAATAGAGCTTGTGAATCTTGGCATATGTAACACATCCCCCATATGGATGCTGCAGGTGATTTAGCTGCCTGTCCCCTATTGATGAACATTTAGGTTGTTTCTATTTTTGTTGCTGCTGCTGCTGTTTCAAACAATTCTGCCACAAGCATCTTGCTTTTGGAACTTTTATGTTCTTTCAAGTGTATCTTTAGGGAAATTCCTTGCAGGGAAATTTTTGGGACTATTTGGTGAATTTAAATGTTGAAGAGAGTAGTTACTAAATTGCCATTTGGAGAAGGTGTACCTCTAGCCACACTGCATGAGGGGGTCATGTCTCCCCAGTTCAACCAGCCTGGGGTGTTAAAAACTTGTGCAGTTTTAGGAAACTGAGAAGTATAAAATGATATCATCCTGTTTTGCTTTCCATTTTTAAACTACCAAGTAAAGTGAGCATCTTTTTATGTGTTTATTGGCCATTTTTCTGTGAACTACTTATTTATGTTCTTAATCCATTTTTCTATTGGTTCTATAATGCTTTATTTTCGTATTGATTTTTATGCATCCTTTATAAGTTAAGGTTATTAGAACTTTGTCCATCATATCTGTGAGAACTATTTTTCAGCCTTGTTATTTGTATGTTGACTTTGTCTATGGTATTCTTATCCTACAAGAGTTTTATAGTTTCACACAATCAAATTCCTTAGTCAAATCAATTTCTTTTGTGGCTTCCAGGTTCATGGGAAATCTCCTTAGAAAGGTCTTTTGTACCCTAAGATTGTAAAGAAATTGAGCCATGCCACTATATTAAAATAGTGCTGGTATAAAATAAACCCTATATTAAATTTTTGTTAAATAAACTTAAAAATAGAATTTTAATGATTTCATGTTCTTACGCTTAAATTTATTTTCCTCTTGGAATTTATTTTGGAATGAGAAATGAGGTAGGGATCCAGCTTTATATTTTTCAAATGGCTATTCATGGCCTCAACACCACTTACTCATTAACCTTTTTTCACCATTATTTAATGGATCTCATTTTGAAGTGGAAGTCCCCTTATTAACGTTAACTGTCTTCTGAGTGTTTAAAATACCTTTCATACATGGTCTTGACTTTCCAGTTAATTTGGAAGCTTGGCTGAGCTTCCAAATTCTCTAGGCTAAGCACTAATGAGCTAAAATCATCTTTATTGTATGGCACTAAGTAGAGCTGTGCTGGGCCAGGCTGATCAAGGTCTTACTTGCTCAGATTCCAAGTGAAGTGAGTTCTTATTAAGCTAATTGGCAGCCGAGTCTTTTCCAAAGCTCAGATTGGTCGGCTCTGCAGGGTTATGGCAGATAGGAAGGGAGAAAACTGAGACCCTGCATGCCTTCAGGAGTCCCTTGTACAATACCTGCCTGGGGCTATGGAGAGACTTGCGATTTCTGAAAATACCTGTGTGTGTTTTCCCTGCTGCTCTCTAGTTAGGAGGGGCCAAAGAGCCACAGCCCCTTCTTCCACTGTGGGAGCTCCTACTCTGTAAGACCCATGGAGGCCTGCCCCGCTGAGGGGTGGGACTGACTCTACAGGATTTCTAAAGTTCTGCAGCTGGTTGGTGACTCCCTCAGCTTGTAGGTGGGGATAGGAGAACCTGAGGTCTCATTGCCGGCACAGGGACTAGGAACAGGGTAATAACTTTTTTATTTTATTTTATTTTATTTATTTATTATTTTTTTTAAAGATGACTGGTAAGGGGATCTTAACCCTTGACTTGGTGTTGTCAGCACCACACTCTCCCAAGTGAGCTAACCGGCCATCCCTATATAGGGGTCCGAACCCACGGCCTTAGTGTTATCAGCACCGCACTCTCCCAAGTGAGCCACAGGCCGGCCCTAGGGTAATAACTTTTAGGGGCACTAGGAGGAAAGGTTAGAGAAACTCAGCCCAGCTGACCTAGGTGGGGTTGAGGGGTTGGAAGGAATTTTGGAAGGTGAGGAGTGAAGCAGGCATGTGGAAAGGTGAAAGGGGCCCTGACCCAGGGGACAAGCGTTCTGATTTCAGGCCTAGAGTCTGCCTAAGACTCACTGTGTGACCCTGGGCTAGTCACAGAATTTCTCCAAAGCTCACTTCAGAGAAGCTAATAATACAGTCATGGGTTGCTTAGTAACGGGATACGTTCTGAGAAAGGCGTCGTCAGGCGATTTCTTCATGAGAACATCCAGAGTGCACTTACACAAACCTCGTACACACCTAGCTATGTGACGTAGCCTATTGCTCCGACCACCATCATATATGTGGTCCGTCATTGACCGAAATGTGGTTGTGAGGTGCATGACTATACTTCACCTTGCAGGGTTGGGGGAGAATTTTGCATTCACAATTCAGTCTCCCCATCTCACCATGTGGGGTGTATGAAATGGGCTGGGAGGGTGCGGGCACCAAGACAGAGAAAGCATCAGCATTCATGCCAGGATGTGTTGGAAACAGCAAGAGAGACACTCAGAAATGTGCCCACAGTAGTGGTGGCAAACTCAAGTGCTCCAGAAGCCAAACAGGTAGTCTGAGTGGGTGGGGCCAGGTGTGGCACCCCAGAGATCCTGATATCTGACTTTAAGGAGCCCCTCCCATTCACTCTCCCCGACTTTCTTCTCCATAGGCCCAGCTGGTCCCGGTTCTGCCAGTTCTCTGACACTCTGGAGAGGTGGCTGGATGGTTGCAACTTGCCCACTAGTGGCATCTTGTGAATGAAGATGCTTTTCTGTTAATTGCTTCACTCAACCCTGTTGGTTGACTCACCACTTGACAGCTCCAGATGGAAAAGGACAAATGTTTGCTTCATCCAGGGATGCAGGATGCAGAATAAACCAAGCTAGTTACTCAACCTGGGCCAAAGGTCTCTACTTGTATTATGAAATTATGATTGTCACTATGCTCACCATTATTTACTATTATCATCATTTATTATTATTTAATCCCAGATGGAGTATCAGAAGGAAGGAAACTATCTGGAAAACAAGATGCATCCATGAATGTCAACATTAAGTAGGGAAAGGAAGGAAGGATACAGTGGAAGCAAAGAGGAGTCAAAGAACAAAGCTGATAGCACCAAGGTCAAGGGTTTGGAGCCCTGTACCGGCCAGTTGCTGAAAAAACAAAAAAACAAAAACAAAGAATATAGGAAGAGAAGCTGGCTTCTAGTTCCAAGGTGTGTCCACGCTGGAGGACATGAGGAGGTGACAAAGTCCGCTTTGCACTTCTATGGAGAGAATCAAGTGACAGTTACTCTTTTCTTGTAACAAGTTAGGCTTCTAAAAATTATAAATAACACCTACTCGATTGGAGAAATTTTGAAAAATATAGAAACGTTAAAAAGAACGAGTCCCTCCATGGTCTCAGCACCCAAAGACAATCACTGTTATGTTTTGGTTGCATTTTCTTCCGGTCTTCTTTTCTGTATACGATTTTTATTCTTTTGCAACAATGCTGTGATAATAAGTTTTGATAGAAAGTTTTGTACATTGTTTTTTAGAAAGAAAACAAACGGTAATAAACACCCTACATGTATTTCGATTTTAAGCAAAAAAAGAAAGGGGGTTTATTTCAGAAGCTTAGTGGCTTACAGATGCCCCGCATGGGATGGACAGCAGGTGTCGGGCTTCCCGACACACCTGCCCAAGACCTGGCAGCAGAAGCAGCAGCAGAGGTATCTGGCTCATCAGAAGCCAGGTCACCTGCGGGACCCAAGTCAGGATGGGGTTTAGAAAACATAGTCCTTAACCTTCCAGCCCTGTGTAGAAAGGAAAGAACTGGAGTGGTGTCATGAGAGCCCGTCTGCACTATCTGCTTCATCATGGTGTTATAGATTCTTCAAAATGAAATTTTAGTGCCAGTTAATATTCCATCATATGAATGCACCATATTTTATTTTACTTTTCCCCTACTCTTCGATTATTAGGTATTGCCACCTTTTAATTACGAAAAGTGCTATAGTGAGTGCCTATTTAGGGCTGCCCCTTTTATTATTTTTTACATTTTAAAAATGACACGAACAACATATATCTAATGAAAAAAATTTGCAGAGTATAGATAGTCACAAAGAAGGAAGTTCGAAATGCCCATCATCCCCCCACTGGAAACAGAAGTTTTTGTCATTATCGTGTAGCCAAAGTTGAGGGAACCCTGACTTAGGGATGGTTAATGTTAAACTTTTCATGCATATCCTTTCCTACTTTATTGTGTATGTGCACATTTTTTCTACCCTTACAAACATGGACAACAGTTTTGTATCTTGCTTTTTTTCAATTACTATTTTGTGGTCTAATGTTTCCAGTTGTATAACAGGAATCCCAGCACCACTTTTAACAACTGCACAGTGGATGAACTATAATGTATGTGACCCTTTATTGATACTTCGATCTAGAGAAAAATTAAACAAGATAGGTGAACAGTGGCCACCTTAAAGGCAGTCAGGACCTAAAACAAGTCAGTCTTTCTTTTTGTTTGCATCTTGGTCACTTCCAGAAAGAAGAAATGGCTGTAAGTTAGAATTTCAGGAGCAGAACTTTTCCTCATATTCAGTAATGATCGATCAGCTTAATCAGATGGTTTTGTGTGGCTCTTCCTCCTCTCTAGAGAAAAGGGTACTGGATGTTTCCCACCCTTACAGCATGAATCATCCAGTAAAATTCCCTCTGGCAGCAGCATTTGCTGTTGAGGTCAATGAGAAGCTCTTGAGACCTTGAGAGCAACTTCTTTATTGAGCTGGAACCCCACGCTGTTTCCAAGGGTGGGCCCGAGAATGGTAATGCGTATGACCTTAACCCAGAATTAATGACAACCTGCAATTGATGAGTACACTGTCTCCTCAAGTATCAAATCCAGCGTGCTGCCGCCTCCTTCCAGCCCATTACTTCCACAGTGGCCCATCATCCTCTAATGGCCACTTGTGTCAACATGGTCATGAGACCTGGGGACAAAGCAGATGTTAGTGTATTGATTGGAACAGCCTCTCTAGGGTTTCCCAACATCAGCTCCTTGTTCGGCACTCTCAAGCCCACTGATAATGGCCATTACAATGAGCACTTGATCTGGGACCAGATCTTGTCTGCTTTACAGAATGATCAAAGCTAGATTGGGAAATCTCAATAACAATTACTCCCGTTACTATTACTTCTATTACCAGCAGCTACCATATTAATCCCAGTTTTACAAATATTACACACAGACCTTTACATATGACATTTCCAAAGCTTATGACACCTTATGAAGTAGGTATGAATTATAACCATATTACAGATGGGAAAACTAGGGTGTGGAGGGATTAAATAATGTGGCTTTATTCCAATCCCATAAGTGATGGAGATGGCATGGATGGGTATCTCCTCAAAACCTATAGCCCCCATACATAGGCCCCCTCTAAACCCTGGCACAATATTAACTTTCCATTCCATCCATTAGCTGGAAAATTGGGTTTCCAGACTTTTAATTAAAATGTTGCATTGAAGAGGTATTAGGCAACTAGTGCAGGACAATGGGTCATTGTCATGGTGCCCAGTCCAAAGACTGGGAAATTGAGGGGACTTTCTCAACTGCACAAAATAAATCAACAGCGAAGACAGTGTGGTGATCTGCAGCATTTCTAAATTTATGTCACCCTGGGAAGCTGTCAAAATGTTGATTTCTGGGCCATGCCTCAGATCTACTCAATCCATATCTTCAGGGGTGGATGGGGCTCAGAAATCTGTATTTTTCGAAAGTATCTCCAGATAAATTTGATCTTTGGGAAACTTGGGAGAAACTAGTTGGTGCAAAGAGCAGAATGTTGGGAAGAGTCAGAAATCATAGGATCATTCCTGGCTTGGCCCTTGCTGTTGAGCCACTTAACTCTGAGCCTCACTTTTCCTTTCTGTACCTGAAGTGAAAGACCCTGGCTGGGCTGGCCACACAGCAGTGTGGAGGGGGCGGCAGTGAGGCCATGGAGTCTTCCAATCTCTAGGCTCTTTACCTGCCTCCTGGTGCCATGTTGACTTTATGAGTAAAAACGCTGCTACAGATCTGCCCTTTGAGTGTGTGTGTGTGCGCGTGCGTGTGTGTGTGTGCGCGTGTGTGTGTGTGTGTGTGTGTGTGTGTGTGTCAGTCCCTGGTGCCATGTGTATCCCTGCAGCATAGCCTGGCCAGTGAGAAGATTGTATCTCATTCACCCTCAGGACACTGCTTTCCAGAATTACCCTTAAGTGGTGGTTGGTTTTTGCTTTGAATCTCAAATCCTACACCCTCCTGAGGCTAAGGTGAGCCAGGCAGCCCCTGCTCCTGACTGTGGCTTCCTCCCTTCTCCCTGCAGTCCTCCAGCTCCCTTGAAGCAAGTGCTCCTCTTCCATCTCCTGTCTCTGCCCCTCATTGACTGAAGATTTTGGCCCTGACTCACTGTTTTTCCACCACAACGACAGTCATCATTCTTGGCGGCTTCAGTTTTCGTGTAGACAAGCCACCAGCACCCTGGCATCTCAGTTCCTCGAAGGCATCACCTGCAAAGATCCTCCACCTCACGTCAGCCACTACTGCCATGGCCATACTTTAGCCTTGTCATTATTAGCAGTCCCACCACTTAAAAATTTCAGTCCTAAGGCTCCGCTCTTGGGATACCACCTCACACCTTTCCCCTGCATCCTCTGCAGAGTTCTCACCATTTCTTGTGTTTTTTTTGCGGCTGGTCCTTAAGTCTCCAAACAGTTCTCTAATGCCAATAATTCTGTGACTCCACTGGGATCTGTAGGGATTGACTGTTTCACCCCTGCACTGTCCCTCTCCTCCCTCCTATCTAGCTTAGACCCCAGAGCCACCATCACAATGCATGCACCCTTGTCCCCTCACCCCTCTCCTCTCTGACAGACTCACCCGGCTTCCCCATCCTGCCTCAACACAACTCGACCTACTCTGCCTACTCTGCATTTGAACCCAAGCAGCTGAACACATTTGGAGGAGGAAAAAACCTTCACAAAACCATGTTGACTGGTGTCACTTTAAATTCTTGACAGCCACTATCAGTGGGCCTTTACTTTTCCATCTCATAGGTAACTGTTTCACACTTTCTCCTCTCTCTGTAAGTCTCCAACACCTCCTCCCTCAGCCACCCTCTCAGCTGATGCTGCTTCTATGGCACTGAGCAAATAGAAGGCTTCAGATGAGACCATCTGCAGGCTCCTGTCACCACATCTGTGGTTACGGGTGAGCCGCCAATGCTCCCGGCTAAGGCCCGCCGCTCCTCTCGGGCCTGCGTCTCATTCCTCTTGCTGACTCCCACAGACTTACAAGAGACAAGTGATGAGCACGCTATTGCTCCTCCCACACACACTTGATTTTGTAAATCTGCCATTTACAAAAAAGAAAAACTCTTCCTTGGCCTCTGATTTCCTGCCATTTCCTCAAAGGAATTGTCCAAGTTCCCACTTTTCTCTGCCTTACTTTCCATTCTCTCTCAAACTCACCTCATTGGACACACATTTTTTAAAGTTACCAGTGATCTCCATATGGCCAAATCCTGTGATCAATTCTCAGTCTATCTCTTAACTCTGAGCAGCATTTGACATAGTCGATCACTCCCTCCTCCATAGTTGATCATTCACTGTCTTTTGGGGCAGCACACATTCCTGTGCTTCTCCCGTCTCACTGGTCACTATTCCTTCACCTCCATTGTGGGTGTTCCCTCCTCCCCCGGTCAGTGTTGGAGAGACCCAGGCTCAGTCTT